TTTAAAACTGCCCCGCCAACGACATACCAAAAACCCCAAAACATCCATATACACCGAGCGTGACAACCTTTGCACAAAAAAAAATCGGGAAACTGCAAGCAAACATTTAACGGGGAAGCAAAGGAGAATGTAGTGGTGTGTGTAACTGGAAAAAGGCAAGTAAAACCCTTTTAAAAATTTTTTATATTAATATAATATAATATATATAATATATAGTCTCCCCGAATATGTAAAAGGGGCATTTGCAAAAAATATTTAAAATTCTAAAAATTCAAAAAAAAATTTTCTTATACTTTTTAAAGAATATTTTTTTCCTTAATGTTAAGTTTTAATTTTTAATTTTGCACAAAGAATCTTTAAAACTTACCTAACCTATTAAAACCCCAAGAACTATTTTTTTACCTCCAACAAAAACATATTTTAGATTTTTTTTTACTTTAAATTTATAAAACAAAAACACAGTGAAAATATTTTTTTCGTTGGGTCAGAATGTTTTTGGCGAATTATTGCATACCAAATTTTCATTTGGGTCTTTTAGGGCAAGATGAGCGTTGCTATTTAAGCCAAGATGCAGTTCTCCCTATTGGGCACGACATAACATAAAATAATATATATATTTATATATATATATAATATATATATATCGTGCTCGAATTAAAGGGGCAAGAAACTTGGTCTTGGTTAAAAAAAGGCAAGCAACATCTTATATTAGGACATAAGTAAAATTTGTTATAATTAATTTATAAAAATAATATCTATACTAAATAAAAAAATATATTTCATGTGTTGCGTTTAAAAGTCATTAAACTCATTTAAAATTCAAAATTCTAAAAAAATTTATTTTACGTTTTAAAGATATATTTGCGCTTTGTTAAATTTTTAATAAGGTTGGCAAGTTCTTATAAAATTCCTTTTTCAAATATATTTCCAACCCCAAAATTAAATTGTTTTTAATAAACATAATAAAAAAATATATTTTTTAAAGTATTCAGAAAAGATTTTGAAAGGCCCTTTCACTTTTAAATATGAGTCTTGCAAATTTGACCAGTTTTACATATTCGGCACGACATATATATATATATTATATATATATATATATATATTATATATATATATATAAATATATATATATTGTTATGTGTGTGTGTATGTGTGTGTGTGTGTGTGTGTGTCTGTATTTTTCTTGTATAATGGTATTACATTTGCTATGAACATAATAATGACAGTAATCTAAACTTAAACTACAAACTATTTACCACCGACAGGCGAGTGACGCGGTGTTGGCAGTGAGCCAGGCCATCACAACAGTGCTCAGGTGCTCTACTAACTCTGCCTTCATCAACGACACTCTCGCTCGTCTCAATGTAAGTAATCAACCACCACTCACCTAACTGTACTATCCTAATCATGGTTGCTCCTGGCCTCCCTACTCCTATGGCCGCAACTAGGTTCACTCTCTCCTGGTTGAGAGAACCATATCATACCTATTCTTAACACTATGTATGGATCCTCATGATATTGTATATGGATCCTCGTACTATATGGATTTTTATATACTTGTTTGTTGAGCGAGATGATTGCATTGCTTTCTGAGAGATGCACAAGAAAACAGCATCATGCTTCCTTAAATATTAGCATTGGGTGGTGTTATTGTTTTAAGTGCATATTTATTAAGGAAACAATGTTTTAAAATAAATTTTGACTTACTTTTTGTGTGTTTATCTATTGTGAAAATAAGTAGCAAGGTAACTACATATTTCTAATAAATTTATCTTAACTCACACAGCGCAAAATTAAATTGGTTATTCTTGTGTTACTCCTCGTTACTGTAAGAGTTTGTTTTGCTTGCTACATATTTACACGAGTTTCCCCTCTTGACCATTTTCATTTTCCTTCCCACTCTGCAGGCTAATACAGTGGAGGAGTCCGAGCAGCGGCTGGGCCTGCACTTGTGGTCGATCCTCCACATGCACCAAGGCGTCGACATCCCACCTGAGGTGGCTGAAGAAATCTCCACGTTTCCCCTTCAGGAGCACACACCGCCATGCAGAATTACCAGGGAGACTGACGGCTCCCCAAGCAAGAGTATTACTCAAGATGATACGTCTCAGTCAATGGTTACGGAGGAAGATTATGAAGATACGTTGATCTTCCCTCCACTAATTAACGATTCAAGTTTGGAGGTGACAGAACATGAGGTGTCTGTATCATCTGGGGTGCTTCACCAAGAGCTATTGACGGAAGACATCATGAGATGCCACCCATTACTTACAGCATCGTTACACCCACTTCGTTCTTCCACTCCTATACAGTCTTGTGATTCTCGTATTCGCAGTGAAGGTAACATCCCCTACTGGTCACACGTCAACTCGCAGACGACTTATGAGCCGATTGCCAGCAATGTAATAGTCTCTGAATACGATAACGAGTTACATATTCTTCGAGGTGTTAGTGGGCAGCAATCTAGTGAGTGTTACCAAGATCGGGATTTTTACGAGAACAGCAGTGGTAATATTGCAGTTTCAAGTCTTCGTGAGTCAACCTACTCTAACTCCCCACTTTTACCGGCTGGGATGTCTCGAGGATAGTCAGTTCTTTGAGGACGTCGTCAGCGATACAAATTTTACTAATCCTTGCGGCAATGGCAATAAGACAAGGGGTGATCGTACGCGCACGTCTAGAAGCGAAATTGACCAAGCACTTTCCCTGCTCTCTTGTGCTTTAAATCGCCAAGAGCCTATTTGTGTCTCAGCCCGATAAGACTGAAGAAGCAATTTCTGGACTTTCAGAGTCCCTATCACGAAGTCAACTCGTACTTCTCTCTGAGCATCATCCAACAAACCGGATGTATAACATCTACATTTCAGAACTCATACCAGAATTCTTGCGTTTCACCACTCGCACAGAATCAAGAATCTTGTAATACAGATCCCCCTCAGGAGCTTAGGGGTGAATCTCTTCCATCAAGAGACACTGGGAAAGTTTTAGACATCTTACAAGAAGATCAAAGTTTAGTAGCTGACAGAACTGGATCCTCTCAGGATTCTGTGAGCATTTTACAAGATAACAATGAATCGTGGTTTCCTAGATACGAACTCATAGCTAATAAAGGTACAACAACCGAGTTACATGATACCAACCAAATAGAACAAGTGGGAATTTCAAGTGATAGTGACAATGAACTGGTTGATGTAGAATTTGTCAATCTAGCTGAATCTCCTATACCTCTCAGTGGAGGGTCTGAATCCTTAGACGAATCTGAAATTAGTTTTAATATTGAAACTGCTTCGAATAGTGAATCAATATTAAGCGTAGTTGACCACACCAACAATTCTTCACATTTACCAACAACTCTTCAAGCTGAAGCGACGGCAGAATTTCAAGAAAACGAGGGCCAATATGAGGAAAATCAGTTGATTAAAGGTGCATCTTTGGTTCGAACAAATTCACCGATCTCTGGATTCCCAGGTTCTAGTTCACCATCGACAAAATGTGATTTTATGACTTCTATAAATCATTACAATATTTCATTAGAAGATAAAGTAGTTTCTCAAACATCTGATGAGAAACAGAGCTGTCATAACAGAAAATTACCGGCGAATTCATTACTCAGGACTGTGGGAGTTTCCACAGTTTCCCCATTCGAAGAGGCTATGGTTGCACTACTATTAGTTGATGAACAGCTGCGATGTCGTCCTTGTCGTAAAAAAACGCCCACAAAGGATGACAAACGTACACAGAAGTCTCAATCTAACGTGACCTCCATAAATGCTGAGAATATTATGTTCCCCACTGCAGATATTATCACTCATAATGCGAAAGACGATTATAAGTTTTCGTTTCCTGTTTCTAAAAGGCTTTGTCTTCTGAAGGCTGACATAATGATCAAACCAACAACTCGTGCAGACACAAATGCCGAGGATCTTGCCAACGAGCAATCACCGCAACTACCTTCTGAAAAATCGTCATTAGGCTCAGACACAAGCGAAACCGGAGCTTTGCCACCACACACTAGTCCCGCCGAAGAACTGATACACTTACCTGAACAGGCTTCATTCAACCAAACGGAACGTGTTAAAGCAAATATAGACATCGTGTCCAATGCATCATTAAAAGTAGATGAAAATGACGACGGGTCAGTACTAATGTCTCAGCAAATATTACCAGATCGAAACCTCACTGAGGAGAGAGATAAGGATCCAACAGATAACGTATCTCCGCAATCCCTTCATGAGCAGGTTTTACCAGATCTAAAAACTGATGATGGAGGGTGGCAGCCTTCGAGTGACAACGCTTCAGCACAAAGTGATAAAAGTGAAGATGAGAATTCAGAGTCTCTTCTAAAAGGAATGACGTTTGACCCAGTGCATGAAGCCTTAAATTCCTCTGCTTTCCACTCTAGTAATATTACCCAAAAGATAAATGAGCTTAAGAACGGGGAGATTAATGATCATTCTCTCCTTCAAGAGTCGATAAACCTTAGTTCTGAGCAGCCAACCAGGCCAAAAAATAACCTAGCTAGCAACACTAACTGTGTCTGCAATAGTGAATCTCCTAACAACGTGCTGCCAAACAAGAAAATAAATCCGGCCACAAATAGCCCTCAACAGAGTATTTCTTTTCAGGTATTATCTTCAACAGAATTTGAATCCCGATCCCAAATACATCAAACAGAGAACATGAAACTCGGAATCCCGAGTTTCGATACTACAATGCCTCATAAAGATACTCTTGAAAGTGCATTATCTCCATCCTCTCCAAGACTGAGTAATATAGTTGTGGGTAGAACAGAGGAGCTGTTACCAATATGTGCTACGTATCAGTATCAATATCTTGGGAACATTTTAGATCAGCATGAGCCAGGCGGGCAGTTCTGTGATCTTCCAAATAAAAAAATGGCTTCAAGTGACCATATACCGTCCAAAACAGGCATATTTAACGATGGTACAACTAACGTCATTGGGTCTGAGATAAAGTCATATCAACCCTTAATACCAAATGACCCTCCATTTAAAACCACAGTATCAGGAGACAAGTTACATGCAAAAGCTGAACTCCAAGATGACACCGCTGCAAATGGTCTACATGACAATGAATTACAGCAAGTAGTAGTATCCGAAAGTAAGCAGCCTCGCATTGAAACAGCTGACGATGATTTACAGAAAGGCCACGGCGTCAAGAATAAGTCTGGAAGTAAATTGCCTATGATCGAGGTTACATCAGATGGTCATAGCTGGGAGAAACCACCATTTAAAGAAGTCAAAAGACAGGATTATGAAGTAGCTGATATGCCTCAGGGAGAACCAGCGGATGTTACATCAAACAGTGACGAGCTAGAAGTAATTATGTCAATTGTGCAAACGGAGGGCACAATATCAGAAGATGAGTTATGGGAAACAGACGTTCCTGAAGTTATAATACCGGATGATGATTTGGAGAGAATAGCTGTGCCAGATGTTCCTGTCAATCATTTGAGAGAAATTTCTCCTGTAAAGAGTGTCACAGAGGCAGCATTAATATCTGACGCTACAATGCAAGATGTCGACGGTTCACAAGAAGTGACAATGACAGAAGACACGTTACCACCCGACGTAACAATGTTAGAAGAGCTTTCTGTAGACGAGGATTTGCCATCACAAACTACTGATATTCAGGAAAACTCCATTGAGATCATGGCAGTACCTGAATGTGAAATATCCGGGTCGGCCAGAGAGAGCCAAGACAATCGTAAGGGTGTGATGAGTATTACATGTGAACCAACAAGGGAAGAAATAGCCACACAGAGAGTCAGTGGCTCTACTTGGTCTGAAGACTGGTCAGGCGATATTACGATGCTCGACATTGCTTCCTCAGATCACGAACTTTCTCTCAGTTTAGATTATAACTCTGATGACTTCACCTGGTGACTTGACATTCACTGGAGGGTTATTAATTTTTACAGATGCATACAAATATACAAGATTTCTGTCTGAATTACACAACCCATGCTCTTGTTTTTTATGAATTTGTAAAAAAAAAAAACAAGGTTTAATGGTTACACTCTTAAAGCTTTTGTTAACTACATGTATTTGTATAAATTAAGGAACATTGTGAACAATATCTGTAATCATGAAGCCTAATGAGATATTGTTACTTTAAGTCTAAACAGTTCATGTTAACAGGTAGCAACTTCAGCTTATAAGTACATTATTTTGCATTTTTTATGAACTCTATTTTAGACACGTGAATCGAGTAATAAATATACTACAAAATATTGTTATTTTTTTTAATAAACAAGAATTCTCTAAAAAATGAATAAAAGTTCTGAGAAGGAAAACAGCCCAATACACTGTTATGTTCACAATAATTCTAAAGTTAGTATCTCTCATTTTACTGTTCCAATGTATGGGAATTTATTGATATTGTTACATCTAAATACCCTTTCTGTCATTATTTACACGCTAATCTCTCTTTTGATGTTGAAGGGCTCTTGATCCAAGGAAGTGGAAGTACCCTCCCTTTCCTCGGATCAACTCTGATTACGGTCCATTCTCCCAGGTGCTCTATAACACCTACAATTTTAGTGCTTATCCATAATAACAACGTGCTAATATAATCCTTTATCCTATTCTGTAATTTCAGTTATACAATCACTCACCTACTGACTTAACATTTACTGACTCATGTAAATGAGTGCATGCGCACTGGAACAAACACGAACGTGTGCGCGCGCACATACGCACACCCACGGTGCCCTCCTACTCAGACGCTGTGAATTAAGCCCAGGGTTGTAAAACTGTCTGTGCGGCGCTGGTCGGGTTAAAATACATGCTTCCTCTTCGTGTCCTGGCCGGAAATCAACCATTCCTGCAGCACTAGGAGGTACCTCACGAGGGGAAGGGGAAGGAGGAGTGAGGAGACGTATTGGAGATGGTGGGGGTTAGGAAGAGTTGTATAGTTGAGGGAGAGGGTTAAGTGTACTGAGTAAAGGGTGGCAGGAAGAGTAGTTGTTTGGTGGAAGGGTTAGGCAGTTACTGGTTGGAGTAAAGGGTGGTAAAAGAGGTTTTATGAAGAGACGAGGTTGGGGTAGGGTTTTTTGGTGGAAGGAAAAGATTATTGAATTAAGCATCACTCTTGAATCTGGTTAAAGGTTCTTAATATAACTTTGGATACCATGAAAATGACGTACAAAGTTTAAGAACACTATAAGATGTCGTAAACTTAACTTAATCCTTAGCATTAGGCACATTTCCTAAGAACAAATTAGGAGCATTGTATTTACTTTCAAGTGAAGGCAGCAAATTAATGAAATAGAAAATAAGGAGAGAATTAATAAAAGGCCGAAAATAAACCCAAAATGAATTGGCAACGATGGACTTAATTCAAAAAAAAAAAAAGATAAACTGAAAAGAATAGAAACAAAGATTTGTAGTAACAATTGTAGATGAGGGAAGCGAGCTGCCAAGTAACGTCATTAAAAAAACAGATTTGTGTAAACAGAAATGGCCTTGCCAAGGGATACTAAACCTGATAGAGTGATTCGTTTTTCTCAATGTTCTTATTAAAAAAAAGGCACCTACTTCCTAAAGGATACTAATAAGTTCATCACAAGTATCAAGTAGCACCACGTGACAACATACCCAGTGAATAAAGTAAATGATGCATAATATATAGCTAAATATGAAAGAAATCACAACAAAACGCGTGATTGCTAATATGAAAAAAATACCACAGTGAAAATAGGAAATGAAACCTTAGCGCTTTCATGTGCTTGCACACATCTTCAGAGGAATGTGTAAGCACATGAAAGCGCTCAGGTTTTATTTCCTATTTTCACTCTTATATTTTTTTCATAACTAAGTATGTCTAGTAACAAGCATCATATAACTGTAGAAACCTGGCACCCTTGGCACCCTTGGCACGAGGCAATTACCCCCGTCTAATTCGTCAGACCCCACTTGTTAAGGTCGTTAAGGCCATCCTTCGGGAGAAAATAGACGAGACAATTCATTGAAACTTTGGCGATAACCTTGTCAAAACAGTGCCACGCCTGTTAAAGTTGAGAGTCACTGCTACCGGGCCAGCTCCCATGGATGTTCACCAGTGTCTTCTGACGGTAAAGGTCGTCCCTTTTGGCTTGTTAATCTGAAAGGGTTGTTACAATTGCTTAGATAACCGAGAAGTTGTTCTTACCTTGCCTACATGCAGATACAGACAGTCACACCGATTACTATTTGACGACGAAGAGGGTTATTCCCTTTTACCTTCATGTAATTATTTTTATATTCACGACCAGCTCACTCACGTCCCTGATCTGACCAGCTCACTCACGTCCCTGAGCTGACCAGCTCACTCACGTCCCTGAGCTGACCAGCTCACTCACGTCCCTGATCTGACCAGCTCACTCACGTCCCTGAGCTGACCAGCTCACTCACGTCCCTGAGCTGACCAGCTCACTCACGTCCCTGATCTGACCAGCTCACTCACGTCCCTGACTGACCAGCTCACTCACGTCCCTGATCTGACCACTCACTCACGTCCCTGATCTGACCACTCCTCACGTCCCTGATCTGACCAGCTCACTCACGTCCTGATCTGACCAGCTCACTCACGTCCCTGAGCTGACCAGCTCACTCACGTCCCTGAGCTGACCAGCTCACTCACGTCCCTGACCTGACAGCTCACTCACGTCCCTGATCTGACCAGCTCACTCACGTCCCTGATCTGGCCAACTCACTCACGTCCCTGATCTGACCAAGCTCACTCACGTCCCTAGATCTGACCAGCTCCACTCACGTCCCTGAGCTGACCAGCTCACTCACGTCCCTGAGCTGACCAGCTCACTCACGTCCCCTGATCTGACCAGCTCATCACGTCCTGAATCTACCAGCTACTCACGTCCCATGATTGCAATCCACTCAATTACAATCGCCTATCTGACCAATTCACTCACGTCCCTGATACGACCAGCCTCACTCACGTCGCCGATCTGACCATCACTCACTCCCTGATTGAACCAACTCACTCACTCCCTGAGCTGACCAGCTACACTCATATCCCTGATTGGAAAGGCAGCCAAAAATATCCATTTAATCCTGATAACCAGCGAATGCCCGCCTTTAAAATTTAGAGAAAGTCACTCAAAATTAGCAAATACGCCATGAATATTAGCGAGTACACCCCTCAAAAAAAATTACCAGCTAAGCCCTCAAATTGCATACAACTACAGCCAGTAGTTGTATTCAACTACTTATAAATTTAAATTTTGAGTATTTTCAGTGAACATGACAATACACCATATATTACTTGTATTTTTGACACATTTTTAAAACCCTAATAATATTTCTAATATTTAATATGACGTGAACCAGACAAGAAATGCATAATGTCTACTTTGTGAATAATTTTCAGCGCTTTGTATGACAGTGACTCAAAAAAAAAAAAAATTCCTGAGTTTTTTTTTACCTCATACAAATACATGATTTTTTGTCATTCATCTCATAAACCTTTAAACAAAAAAAAATATACACGCCACAGAGTTAACACAGTTGCAAACACACACACACACACACACACACACACACACACACACACACACACACACACACACACACACACACACACACTTTCATATAACTTTCGAAAGATTAATGATAGTTTACTGTTATTCAACTGGGAGGTAAAATAACGTGAAAAATAAATCACATTGGAAGCAACTGAAACGTGGATAGCAGAGCCCGGAGAGTTTTAACATTCTTCAGTCTGGTAAATGTCTAACCAGTTTCTTGACGCTCGGGTTGTTGGTTCAACATGACAAATGAACCGTGTCAGTATGTGGCAGGTTGTTCGTGTCAGTATGTGGCAGGTTGTTCGTGTCAGTATGTAGCAGGTTGTCTGTGTCAGTACGTGGCAGGTTGTTCGTGTCAGTATGTAGCAGGTTGTCTGTGTCAGTATGTGGCAGGTTGTTCGTGTCAGTATGTAGCAGGTTGTTCGTGTCAGTATGTGGCAGGTTGTCTGTGTCAGTACGTGGCAGGTTGTTCGTGTCAGTATGTAGCAGGTTGTCTGTGTCAGTACGTGGCAGGTTGTTCGTGTCAGTATGTAGCAGGTTGTCTGTGTCAGTATGTGGCAGGTTGTTCGTGTCAGTATGTGGCAGGTTGTCTGTGCCAGTACGTGGCAGGTTGTCTGTGTCAGTACGTGGCAGGTTGTCTGTGTCACTATGTGGCAGGTTGTCTGTGTCAGTACGTGGCAGGTTGTCTGTATCAGTACGTGGCAGGTTGTCTGTGTCACTATGTGGCAGGTTGTCTGTGTCAGTATGTGGCAGGTTGTCTGTGTCACTATGTGGCAGGTTATCTGTGTCAGTATGTGGCAGGTTGTCTGTGTTAGTATGTGGCAGGTTGTCTGTGTCAGTATGTGGCAGGTTGTCTGTGTCAGTATGTGGCAGGTTGTGTGTGTCAGTATGTGGCAGGTTGTCTGTGTCAGTATGTGGCAGGTTGTCTGTGTCAGTATGTGGCAGGTTGTCTGTGTCACTATGTGGCAGGCTGTCCGTGTATGTGACAGGTTGTTCGTGTCAGTATGTGGCAGGTTGTCCGTGGCAGCATGTGGTAGGTGGTCCGTGACAGTACGTGGCAAGTGGTGCGTGTAAATTCATCACACGTGATAAACTTCACTAGTGAAGAAGTCCTGGAACGCACACGCTGACACATTCACCTACATACGCACGCACAGAGAGAGACTAATGATCCGTAAAAATACTGAGTACTGACAGCAACCGTTCAGCGGTGCTGGTGTGAGGGCTCGCAGATCAATGTTAGCAGCAGCAGTAGCATGCAGAGGAAACACTATCATTAGCCTTGCTATAAAGCACACTTCACACCCTCCACCAGGTAATGACAGACCGCTTGCCTAAGCTCGCTACACACTCCATTAAACCCCGCGGCTCTGAATATTTTATGTCCGTTTTTTAATGCTGGAACTGCAAAGCAGTTTTCTTCCAGATTAGGGGGTACACACGCAAGCTGGAATACCTTCGCTTTACGTGTTTGAGC